TATACATGAACAATAGCTATCATAATTTGTTCTTATGTGAAATGTGGTAATGCAATTTTGAAAGGATCCAACAGAGTAACAGTAAGTATCTTTCCAATAAGTGAAAATAATCATAACAGTAAGCTTAATTATAAGAGATAAATTAAATTTCATAGCTATAAAAATGATTGAAGCTTATAGCTATAAAAATGACCAAAGTTTTAAAATTATTAAAGCTTATAAATTCTAAGAAATAAGACAAAGTTGTTGACAAAGTTATATCATGATTCAGAAAGTTTTTTTTTCTACTCTATTTTTGTTTCTTCCTTTCCCTTTCTATTTTTAAAATTTTTTAAATACTTTAGCATCACTAATTATGATATTTTGAGTCCTATATTGCAATTGTTTTGTCAAAAGTAGATGATATCTAGATTTTATAAGACTTTACATATTGTGAGCTTGTTGGTATTTGATAATAGCTCTATTTAGGACAGTAGTAGCTTGATAAAACTGAATTAGAGCATTATCAATCATAAAGTAAAATATTTATTAGAGAGTTAAGAAGAAAGAAGTGAATATATTCATTTCACATAACTATATATAACACAAAATCATGTTATTTGCTAAGATTTCCAAATAGAAGTGTGTAACACTTATTCTAAAGGGTCCTCATTTTTAACATGAAACAGAGTCTCCTTCATAAAGAGTTTTAAAAGAGTTTTTTTTTCCAAGATACAATTCTAAAAAGTTTGTATGAGTTGAGAAAATGAAGCAAACAAAGACCTTAGTTGGCCTTATAGTGAGGCCTCAATTGATACTCTTGTCTTGTAGAACCCTTATAATTTTTCTCTCAATGTAATCCCTTGTATTAGTGCATGTAATTTTGATTATATGAAATCCACATACTCAAGTATATATATTAGGTTTTATTCATGTAAGATATATCTTCACTCATCACTCATAATACTATAAAGGGTAAAGCCTTTAAGTAATGCTTTGTTTAGTGTTCAAAATGGTGCTTTTTATTTTTATTCCTTCATTCTTTTTTAGATCTAGATTTATGTTAGTTTTTCACCAAATCTAGGATTGTAGTTATTAGATTAGTTTTTCCTTTTCAATCTCTATTACATTCTCTTCTTCTACAATGTTATGCCATTATTGATGAAGAAGTATTGTTATTTGAGGCTGCTATTGTTGTTCCATTGGATTGAGCTTTTGGTGTTATAGGGCATAATCATATTAGTGTTACACCCATTCTTCATGTGTTGCCATGACCAACTTCCATGGGACTTGATTATATAGTGTTATTCATCTCTTGCTAATATGGAGTGTGATTGTGACATCAACTAAAAAATTATAAATGATGCAATCCAGTTTTTGGAGAATGTTCAAGGATCAAGCTTATGGGAAGATGATGTATATAATTTAATGGATTCTTGACAATGATGAAAAATTTGATTACTTTAGAAATAACTATGAGGACAAATTATAGATTTTGCAAACTAGGTGTCAATCCTTCAATTTGTCATATAATCTTTTTTTATTGCCTTCTACTCTTTTGCAACCTTTTTTTATATTTTAGCTTGAACCACTTCCATATTTTTTAATTTTTTCCTTATTTATAGCATTTTTTTCTCCTTGTATGTCGATAATTTATGACTCTTATAATTCTCATTCTTAATTTGGTGTTGAATTTAGTATTTCTATTGTCTTTATACTAATTTGAATACTAAGCATATATGTGAAGCAAGAGAATTTGTTTTGTTTTGTTAGTAAAGTCTTTGATCAATTCTCATATTCATTATTCCTTTGTTCCAAGGGTTAAGTCACTTTTACCAAAGTTTCAAGCTAAGTATATTTCTTTGGTTATAAGTGCTATTAAATCTCTTTACCTTACCACTACTACTAAGGAGTTTTTCTATTATTTTTCTTATCTCAAGTGTTGAGTTGTGTGTTGAAGAAGTTGAGCAATATAAGTCTCTTCCTTATCTTCTAGTGGCTAAAATATTTTATAACATGATATCCCTTATCCAACCTTTCTACTTGGATGGAATCTCATATAATAGTAGATTCTTTATTATCTAAGCTTTATGCATATTTCCTTCTTCTTATTTCCCTATTTTCCCATTGACAATAGTTAAAAATTACTCTTTTGATATTTCTTTATCCACTTTTTCTTCTTCTATAATATTTCTTCCTTAATGTTTTTAATTTTCTCTTTTTTGCTCTGACACCTTAAACTTTTTTTTCTTCAGAGGAGGGGGTAGAGGGGACAAATAAGAGTCTAACCCTAATGATAGAGTGAGGACAAGCAAGTATGATAGTTAAGCAAGGATAAATGACATAGATTGTGGAGTGAGGATTCATAACAAATCTGAACTATATAAAAACATCTAACCCAATGTAGTGAGGCCAAACAAATGTGATAGTGAAATATAAATTATAGAGTAAGGATAAGTATAGTAAATATAAATAAAGCCAATACTTCAAAACTTTTTTTCTTTTTTTTTTCTTAGGGTTAAGGAAGGTGTGGAGAACAAATGGAGTGAGTTCAACCTCCCATATACAATGTTGGATGAGAATTGAAAACTCTTGAATTTAGACTTTTAGAGACATTTAACCCTAAATATCCTAAGACCCTTAACTAATTAGAAAAAAAAATGAAGTAAACCCTCTTCCTCTATATTTAAACTTCTATGTATCATCTTTTAAGTTATTTTCTAAAACTCTTAACTAATTAGAAAAGGGGGTGCATTATTATTCATAGGCCTTTTCCTTTTATATTTGAACTCTTATGAGTTATTATCTTTAGTTGCTTATAATTCACTATGCTTCTTTACAAGTTCACGCTTCATGAATAAAAGCTGAAAGTCATAACTTCCCGAGAGCCCCACTCTCTTAACACTTTACCCCTCGGGTATAACTCAGCTAGAGAAAACTAAACTACCAAATATTAATCTCAATATATGATGTAATTCCTTTAGTTAGCCAACAAATTTAGACTTAAGACCTCTCTAATACCAAATGTAAGCTCCTGAATTTGGACTTCTTATGAGGTTACCTACTCAATACCACTCAAACCCAAAGATGTTTAACCCCAAGTATTTCAAAACTATTAAGCAATTGGAAAAAAGGGTGCATTGTTGTTCATAAACCTTTTCCTTTTATATTTGAACTTTTATAAATTGTCTTTAAAACTTTTATAAGAATGAAGGATGTGAGTCTAAGTTAACATAGGTCTTGGAAGTTGACCGAAAGAAAAACATAAAGGGTGATTCTGTTAATGATCATGAGTTTTAGTTAACAATAGCCTCAGAGGATGGCTGACATACAAACTTAGAGATAGAATGTATTAGTTCCTACAATGGTGTTTTATAAACTATAATAACTCTTAAAGTCCCTTGCTTTAGTTCAAAGTTATGGTTTCGAATTTAGTTCAAACATTTGGTAATTATATATAAAGTTGCAACTAGTTCATCAAGATTCTACAATCACTAATGTTTCTGCTATAATTTTAGGTTTTATTTTAGTCATGGTTATCAAGAATTATGTTGGTGGTTATATAAGAGTTTTAGTTTCTTATGGTAATCTATAATCACCTAATAGATATCTAACTTATTGTCATCACCTTTTCATCTTCTGAAAGGGAAAATACTTTTATATATTTTATAATAAACAAAGGCTTGCAGCCATCAAATCATAGGCCTAGGAGAGGATCAGTATATGGTCAAAAGAAAATTTTTGTAGATGTTATACTTGGCCAATGGAAGACTAGCACATTGGCTAAGAGGAGGAATGCAATTGATTTGATTGTATAGTTTTGGGGCATTTTTTTCTATTGACCTTGAGGAGTCACTACTAGGATCATAAATTGTCGTCCTGCTCTGCCTCCACTTCAGGTTTGATAATAAGCTTGGGCTTTCTCTCTGGATTAATCTAAGCAAACAGTAATCACCAACTCTAGCCACTGGTGGAATTCAAGGCAAGCATGCCCTTCTGCACAAGGATTTTGTACACATGCCCAAGCGGCTTCCTCTCTATTTCCAGTGAAGACTGTAGAAAAATAGTCCTTGAATTGTTTTTAAACAGGAGTTTAACATCTTTACCAAGTATTTGTTTTAAATTTTAGTGCACTCTGCATTCCCAGCACAGCTGGTCAGATTTCTCTAGCAGCATCTCTTGGACATTCCAGCCTTAGAAGCAAGCCACGATCCTAAGCCATGCTCAGCAACTTCAGTAAGTTTATACTTTTTAGAGCTAGGAACAAAGACAAAAAGTTGTTAGGGTGTGGTCATGGCTGTATTGGGAGCTCAACAGTGAAAGAAGGTGGGGGAAGGAAGCAGCTTGATTTTGCACCATCAATGAGCAGCCAGTTTAGCTTATGTTTATTCTCTTTAATGATCAAAGATGGAGTAGGAGAATTAGTATCAAAGCTTCCTGACAACAAAGCTTTGATGAACTTGATATTGGGTATAATAAGTGAACTTTTTATTTCAATTTCAATTTTGGATGTGTTTATAAATTTTAAATAATTTCATCTATTTATAATTTTCCCACCAAGTATATTCTAACATATTCCACCATTTGTATTCTCCGATTCATGATCTTAAGCATCCCGTCACAAAGTCTAGAAATATAGCTTAGATTCTCCCCAAATTGATTTTCAACTGTGCTGTTTGGATCCTTATGTCATCCCAAAGTTTGTTTGTGTGCCAACTGCGTAAAGTTCTATGGGGTAGAGTTGCCTTGAAAAGGAGGTCTTGAGTCCCCCGATCGATCCTTCCTCGAGCCAGCACACCCTGTACCAAGCTCCTTCCTTCCTTCCGTGCGCTGGGTAGTCAGCATCCGCCTGGAGCTTTGTAGCACCTGCGCCCTAGCTGTTGCTCGAGTATGATCGAAGGTGCCTAGAGCGTGATCAGCTAAGTGCTCAAGCAGCTGAATACCTACTCAATAATAGCACAAGCGCAACAATTTTGAAAGGTTCATTAAAAATTAAAATATAAACCTAAGTTGGACGAAATTACTCCTCAAACTTTTATTCAAATAATATATACTCTTGCAGAAAGTACTTCTAATTTGTAAATGCCTTCATTTTTACTCAGCAGGAGCACTTAATACACGACTTTGCTTCAGGAACACCAGATGCTGGAGGAACTGCGTAAGGGACTTGGCATTGCTTCACACACGGTTTAGCCTCTTGGAGGATTAGTGCCGGCCGGGTGGACTCCGATCCAAATCCATCGCCAAGAGAACTAAAGTTTTGGATCGCCACTTCTTCCGACAGAAGCTCATCGCTGTCAAACTCTTCCAAGATACCCCCGGACGGCCATGAACCGGCATCAAATGCGTGGCTCCTGTTCTGGACGGCTCTCTTTCTCAGCACGAAGACGTTGAAGAAGTAGTCTACCAAATCTTCCCGACTCCTCCTTCCAGCAAAAGAAGCTTGGAGCTCGGGCCAGAGCTTGTCTCCTTGGCAGCACTCCTTCACAATAGCAGTAAACTCGGCCTCCTCTTGCCTGCTCCACTTGGCTGACTCCACCAAACTCTCTCCCATTTTGTTGAATCCCCACTCCCGAAAAACTTCCTCTCCAAGCTCCAGCTCCAGCTTCCTGCGTTGCTCCTCGATCCGCCGCTTCACACATGATCCTCCCTCCACGCAAATACTATTACTACTACTACCAGTGCCGACTTCCTTCCCTCGCGGCCACACTACTCTACCGGAAAAGAGCGTCGAATCCTCGTCACTCCCAGTCACAACGGCAGGAACTTGAGCTTGGAAGTTGGGTCCTATGCGGATAGAAACTTTCTTGGTCGTCGGGAGCGATAAGAGCTGGCCATTTTCGTGCCTGTAGGAACGAAGGCTGTACTTGGAAGTTATGGAACTCACTCCTCGCCGTCCTGGTCGCTGTATACTCACGTAAGTGAGAGAGTCGAATGATCACACTCTAAACTATACACTATACCTCTACATGGTGGTGATGGAGGTGTTGTTCTTCTTCCTCTTTCCTCCGGAGGCCGCCCAAGACCCCCTTCACAGTTGCTCGAAACTCACCATTCTCTGGAGCGCTGTGCGTGGCATTCCCTGGATCTAGAGCCAATCTTCTCAGATAGGAGAGAGCCTCTGGAAGAGCAGCAGTGGATGCGAGTGAAGGAGCCTCCACATTTTTGGTGGCATTTGCATTGAAGATGTGGCCACTCTCCAAGCTCTTGAGGTATTTGAGATAGACGAGCTTGACGCTGGGGCCGCAATGCGGGGGTAAGCCCATGGAGGTGGCCACAGTGCCCCACTTCCTGGCACCACTGGCCTTGGTGTACCCACCAAAATCTTTCACCTTGGCGAGGAGGAAAGGGAGGTCTACCTGGGTGCCGCCAATCAGGACTGTGAGTGGCCTCTCCCCTGGAGATCCTCTGGCTTGGAGGGCTCTTCCCACCAGCTTCACAACTCTATCACCTGTTATCGCCATTTCCACTCAGAAAAACCCTTACCTAAACAGAAAACTTTTTAACTTTGGTTATCTTGTTTGAAAAATGATTTTTCCTCCTTGCATTGTCTACGTCTTCAAATAGAGGAGAGCTCTCTTTGGACGATAGCGTTCAGGATCCAGCATCACTATATGAAGATGGAGGTCCTCCAGATCCAGTCCGTGGCCTTCATAACATATCAGCATGTGTATTTAATATGAAATGCAAACACTTTTGTGAAGAATGTAACCTATTGAATTTTTGACATTTGGAAAAACTTTTTGCAGAATTTTGTAAATGAACTAGGCCTTTATAACCAAACAATTACCCTTCGCTGGGTTGGTTTAGGGTGTAAATGATATTGTTTGTTTTATGTTTTGAGTCCTGTGATACTATTCTAGAGGAATATTATAAAATCTGGGGGCCAGAAGAGAATTTACAAACTCTACATGCTGTGAGTTACACTTCTCACTTGCTCGATCACAAGATGGTGGTGCCATTCTTTGAACTACATAATGTTTCAAGTTTGTCATCTCTTGTGTTTGCCTGTGTTGTTTATTTGAATAGAAGGGATCTCTTGTCGTCTTTGTGTTTGCCACTTTCCACACTGTGTTGTCTATTTGAATAGAAGGGATCTCTTGTCGTCTTTGTGTTTGCCACTTTCCACACTGTGTTGTCTATTTGAATAGAAGGGATCTCTTGTTGTCTTAGAGGAATGAAAACTTGGGTGTATCACAAGATTACAAGGAGAATGCATGACCCATCATAGAATTCTAGTCCTAGCCATTAATCAAGAAATTGGAGAGGTGGAAAATGATTATATTTCTTAACAAGCAAACCGTTTATAATCAAGATCATAAAGAAGAATGATTACCATTACTCCACCTCAAGAGAGCAAATTCATTCCATTTCTTTTATGTCCAAACTTTTCCAACATAACCCTAATTTAAGCTTTAGCAAATCTGTTTGAAGTTTTTCAATGAGCTGCTAGACACCAAGACATTGTGTGAGGTCATGTCACCAGCCGAAAGCCTTGAGGTGGACTTGAACCAGTCGACTCTAGCTCGGATGATCTAAGGAAAGACACTGAAAGAGATCTGGACTGCCAGATGATCTAACTGAATGTTATAAATCTCTCACAAGCATGGCAAGAAGCAAGTTTTGTGACTACTCGTTAAAGAAGCTTGTGAATTGTTTAACTCCTACTCGGCTGTGGACAAGGAATGCATTTTGCTGGCGAGCTTCATGCAGATTGGAGATGTAGACATGGTGTTGTGGATGAAACCTGTTAAAGACACTTTATCTATCTCAATCCCACTGCTTATTCTCGAGTAGTTTTAATTTCTATTAATATAACCATTGCACTTTGGAATTTTTAATCTTGACTCCTTGAAGTCAATTTCTAAAGTGTCTTTGACACCTTTCATTACATACATTGTGCAAAGTCCACTTCCCCATCTTAAAAAGTTCTTTATAGCACAAGATGAAGCCAAAAAAATGTTTAATCAGTAAGAAAGATCAAATCTCGTGAACACAATGCTAGAAACATCAAATTCATGATCATGGCTCTTTCTCCCCAAGGTGGATATTGTGCTCTTTCAATTTGCTTAGGACCACCAAAAGTACAACACAAGTGTCCACAAGCCATCCAGCAGGCTGTCCGAGAATTCCTCATCCCCGTGACAACTAATTAAGTTACTTCGTTTGGACCAGTTGTTTTCGTTTTCCCCTTTTTTTGCTGCCAAGTTTAGGGTTCATTGTTGAAGGGCTAGAGCAGTGATGGTAGACGTCACGGACGAGATGTCTTGGGGTTGGGGTTGGGGTTGGGGTTGCTGCCTGGTCCACTCTGCCCAGGTAGGCTGCTTCGCACGGTAAGTTCGTTTAGGTAGGGCTTTTCTTTGCATGAGCAATAAGCGAGTAAAGAAAGCAAAGCTGCTTACAACGAGCTGAGGTATGATCAACAATGAAAGAAAGGCTAGTGGCGATCAGGAATTTGTGTTGAAACTCTCAACGTTTGAAGATGATTGCAACTCAGAAAATCAAAGTGCAAAACAATGGGCCAAGGATGTGGACAATACAAACGATCATTGAAAGTTGACAATACTTAGCTTCAGGTTTGCGTGTGTTTCAATTGGTTCTAATTTCTTGCCATGAACAAGCCAAGTCGCCTGCTCAATGACGATAAGAACTGAAAAACGCCATGTCGGCCAAGAAGAATAATGCTACGAAATTGGAGATATTTTGTGTCAACGTGATTGTCAACGCTTTGAGTTATGTTGTTGCTGCGCTCAACGCAAGACCTGCGAGCTGAGAAACAACGTCGCTTGCGATCTTCAGAACCTCAATCCAGCTGAAGACGTACATGACAATGGTCCAACCTCAATGACCATGAAAACTCCATGAAAGCACAGTGATCATAGCGTGAAAGACGCTCACTCGTATACTGTTTGTTCTGTTTGCTGTTCAACGAAACGGACATCGGTTCGTGAACTGTTTATTCTAACCAAAATGTATGTTCAACGAACTGGACAACGCCCAAAAGGGCTAGAGGCTTCAACCTTCCAGGTCTATGTTCTCTATAGTTTTCTTTATGGTTTCTCTAACTTCTTTTTGTTTTTGCAATGCCATGAGAACAACGTTAGATGGAAGTTTACACTTTGGCAGTGGCAAAACCGGAGGATCTACACAAAGCTACCCTGTGGTTTCCTTGAAAAGAGATGAATACAGTTACAAAGTTGCAAGTAGTTGTGTCAAAAAACACCAAAAAGTAGCTTGTGAGCTTCCCAGAGACGAGCGTCTGGGTGCTGTGGCAGCTACTCAAGAGCTCGTTAAACCTCCTGTAGCTGTCCGAGCTTGAAGACCTCGGGCTCGTCACTTCCAAAACTTAGCTCGGCAGGGGATTCTCATGCCTTGTTCCAGAGCTTTCAGTTTGATCATCTTCCCACCAATGAGTCTCAGCCGCTAGAGCCGAGCAAGCCTTGATGGCCGCGAAGATGCAGGGGAATCCAGGTGCAGAGCCCTGGCATGAGAAGGCTTCCAGTTCTCTGCGTGTCCCAAGATGAAAGCGTTCTACATTGTGGCAAGGCATCCTGTCAAACACCTCCTCGCCTCAACCAGGCTGCCACACCTCCCATACATGCCAATCAAGCTGCAAGAAGTGTAGGGATTGGAGCAAACCCCGCTTTGGATGGCGCGATTCCCCTCTCTAAATCATTGGAGCTCCCGCAGGATTTCAACCCTGAAAGGAGCTCTACTGAACAGTTTGTGCTGTGAACCTGGCATTGTCCCAATCTGTGGCAGTACCTGTGGAGCGCGGGTCGAAGGAAATGCATCCATCCGTCGAGCGCCAAAAGAATCTTTGTGCCTTTAAATGACAAGGCAAAATTTCCTCTTCTTGTCACTGCCATTCTTTCGTGGGCGACAAGGCTTTGCGTCCATGGGAATTTGATGTGGTTCTTCTCAGTGCGTTTTAGTTTCTTTTGATAAGGATTCGAACCTTGGACTTGTGATTCGTAATCCTCAGCAACCGGGTTCGCATTATTTTATTATCGACTTAACCCACATGTTTCCTCTCCCGCGCGAGACGCCACTGCCATTCGGCCTGCCAGGAAGGTCTTCAGAGCCCATCGTGAGCAGCGTCGTCCAGGTGAAGGTTTGCTGGGCATATGCCACAAGCAGCGGATTCCACGAGACGAGGCGGCATCGGGAAGGAGGTGTTTGATCAAAACCTTGTGGCGTGGAACACGCTGCATGCTGCATACTCGAGGCAGGGGCTTGTGGAGGAGGCCCCGCAATTCACACACTTTGTGTTGACGGTGATAGTGCTTTGCTCCACTCAAATCCGCCTTGCATCCTTACGCCTACACAGTGGTGCTTGAGCTCCCGGGGAATTTGCTCGGGGCCCTCGCTAGCGTCACACCCAGATTCAGACCGATTCGAGAGTTGGCCTCAGAAATCCTCCCTTCTCATGCCGTCGGCGAAGTTCCTGGGATCCATCTCCAGCTGCCCAGACAGTCGTCTCCGCTGCTCCTGAAACAACCTTGGATCCTGGCCGCTTCCCGGAACAAGACTTCCACTCATGTTTGCCAAAGGAAGAACCGTTGCTGCCGCTGTTCCTGGAAAGTCTTGCGATCCATATACTAGTGGCTGAGCGGCCTCTAGAGCTTCTCCCTGTCTCCCGACTCCTCTCCTCCAAGTCCTCGAAAGTCTAGAGTTGAGATCCCGTGACTTCCTGGCATGAAATGTTGCTGGTGTGGCTGGAATAGACGATGAGAAACGTTGTTGACGCTGTGGAGGTTCCCAGAGGAAGACTGTAAGATCGGCTTGAGAAAACCAGGAACTAGCTGAGACATCTTTGATCGTTGTCCAGCGTCATGGGACACTATCAGTGGCGGCCATGTGTTGAGCTGCCAGCTGCTGATAATTCTCCCACTCCCACTATGATAGACGATGAGGCCCTGGATGCCTTGAACTTATATAGTGTCACTGCCGCCGACTATGACGCTTGATCCACCACCTGTTCGATGGCATGCCCGAGAGGAGCCTCGTGTCGTGGTCGGCGATGCTAGTGGTGTTTGCAAACTGCGGCTGCATAGATGACGCCACAAGGCTGTTCGATGCCATGCCGATAGCCATGATCACCGCTTGTGCCGACCGCGACCTGGCCCGAGCCAAGGACGCGTTTGACGGGTGTTTGCACGACATGGCAAGGTTGACGAGCCTCCCCGAGCAGGACATGTTCTCTTGGGATGCCCTCTTAGCCCCACAGCAGGCATTTCTCTCTGACAGCGTGCTGGATCGAAGCGTGACTCTGTGGACGTCGGCCTCCAGGTCTGCATTCCTGGGCTGGTGTCTGTGGCGCTCAAGGCTGAAAAGCTAGTGCTGTGAGATGGCCTTGCCTGGGGATCCTAACCCCAAGAAGCATCACTCCTGGTCCATTTTTTGCCCCATTCTAAAACCAACATTAGTCACTAACAAAACTTGCTTCTTGGGCAATGAATAAGATCAAAATA